GCGCAAAGCCGCGGAGGACCCAGGCCGGACCGCAGCGCTGATCTGGAAGCGCCGGAGTCCGGCTCGGGTCCTCCACCACTTTGCTCCGCATCTCCCTGGTCTGCTGGGGGGGGGACGCAGCTTTTCTCACTTCCGGGGCGAGAAAATCCCCGTTCGTAACTGCGGATCCGACATAAGTCGGAGCCGCGTAACTCGGGGACTGCCTGTACTTAGGTAACAAAAAAACATAATTCTACATTGGCAAGTTACACTTTCATGGTGAAGAGATTGCCCTACAGAACTTGTGTGAAGTGAACTGAAAGTTACTATACTCTGTTTACCATGTTTATAATGCAAATACTTGTAATAAAAAATAAAGTGAGCAATGTACACTTTGTATTCGGAGTTGTAAATGAAGTCAATATATTTGAAAAGATAGAAAAACATCCAAAATATTTATACTAAATTTAAATTCATATTCTACTATTAACAGTGATTAATCATAATTTTTAAATGAAGTAATTTGTTTTGGGTTAATTGCAATTGACAGCCCTAATATCTAGACATAATACACAGTATTTACTGTGTGTGTAAAAATCCTTGCATACAATATAAAATTTGAACCAAAATGATTGCTCTCTCAGAGCTCACTATATTTGGTTATTACAACCAGGGACCAGCATGTGACTCCTTTGCCTTATACCTAAGGTTAAAGGCATCAGACCAGTAGTTCTCAAACTTTTTCATACGATGAACCAGCAAACTTGTTCAAAAACTTTTGGCAGATTGGCACTGAAACATTTGCGTATTCATTATGGCAATTCATTTATTTGCATATTTGTTATGGCGATTAATTCTGAGCGGTCATGTGTTATTTTACATTGCATCTGTACACACACAATGCCCTGGCCCCCAGAGGAGTCCTGCTCTCCGAAGTGGCCCAGCTAACCCCGGAGCAGCCCCGCTCCGCCATGCGGACATCTTGTCGTCAGATCAAAGGAAAATGAAGTAAATTTTGATACCAATCCAGAAAGTCAATCAGCCTTTAAACCAAATAATCCTAATGAATAAATTGCTGCTATAGAAAAACAAAAACGTAGACTCAAAAGTTTTTATAAAATCCCAACAAAAACCCAGAAGAGATTATATTAGGAACATATTTTCGATCATTATTTGCTATTAAAATCTAAGATAAATAGTCTGTCAATTGCCACGAGGCTTTAGGCAGCCCTATCCCTGGAAGATGGATTGCTTTCAACACTACAATGAACGAGGCTCGCCAACTGCTGGGCCGGAGATCTGTACAATATTTTACCCAACCCGGTCCCCTTGCAGCTCAGTGCAGAACTGCAGCTGGAGCGGAGCTGCCCTGTTCAGGCTGCCCGGAGCCTTCAGCCCGGCTGGGCAGTGCCCCCCTCTGCCTTGTCTGCTCCAGTTCCATTCCAAGCCAAATCTGTATCAACAGT